AAATATATATATTTTTTGGTTCTTTGAAACAAATAAGGTCTATGGTATTTTAGTATGAATAACTATTAGCTGCCATTGATTCTGAAATATTGTTGATCAAATACAGTATATACTCTAAAAGTACCTACTTTTTAAATAGTACTACACTTTGAAATGTTTTGATGAGAAACATTTTAAATGAGCAGTGGGTATTATAATTATATTAAAGTGTATTGTATTTTAAGAAATGTGTTTTTACAGAGAGACAAGACAAAGACCAGGAGACAATTTAAGATATAGACTAAAACATTTAATTACAAAGAATAAAGCCATACTTGCCTTCAGCTGGACCAAAGTACACACCTTTATTAGTCTCAGGATATTTTGTTCAACAGATAATTACAAAATTAGATAATAAAAAAATAGCCTTGATCTCCAAACAAAAACAAGCAGTCCATTAAAATAAAAATAACTTTTAAATTAAATCAAATTAATTTTCCTTCAGTATTGTTACTATAAGGTTTACAGTTTAATGTAATTATTTAAAAAGTCACACTATTTGCACAAAACATTACATTCAAAAGGTTTTTAGGATAACACACAGGTTACTTTCAATAACACGTGAAATCTTTAATTGTGGGAAACAATTTCATTAAAAATAACAGGTCGACTGGTGGGATCGAACCAGCGACTCTGGAATCTGTCCCTCTTTTCTCCCCTCGTCTTCCCCCTCCTCCTGCCTCAGTTTCAGTTGTATTACCCCGCCTTTTGCAGACCTATTTTATCTGTTTCCAGGCCCGGCTAGCTCAGTCGGTAGAGCATGAGACTCTTAATCTCAGGGTCGTGGGTTCGAGCCCCACGTTGGGCGAAGCAAGTTTTTTTTATTTCTGATGGCAAATATTACAATTTGAACATGTCTGTGTCCGTGATCAAAGCATGGTTTCATGTCAASTAAAAAGCAATACCATAAATAAGAGAAAAAGATCTATAATTCCAAGTTATAGTTAAATTTAAGCAGAGAACTGAATCATATAGTCTCAAATAATGTGTCTAAATCTATACCTTTTTAATGAAAGTGCAATTTTTCGTTACAAATTATTGTTGACCTGTTCCTTTAAACAAAGGGCTTTACGGCCGTTGTCACAGCAGTTTTTAATGCTTTACGACTATTTTGAAGCCTCATTCAAAATGGAGTAGATTACGGAGTTGGTGCTTAAAGTTCATTTATCTCTTTGATTTATTTATTCATTTGTTCGTCTCTAACGGGTTGTTCTTTATTTTTATTTTATTGGATAACCAGCAACCCCTCCAGCAAAATGACCGAAGAGAATAAATCGGGTTCTTTAGGGTTTTTTTCGAGTTACGACGATTTGAGCGACAGTAGCAGCGACTCGGACGAGGAGCGAGACGGAGGAAAGAAGAAAGCGGGGACCTCAGCTCAGGAAAGCGGGGACCAGTCGTCCCAACAGGCRGCCAAGCGGACCGGAGCTCCTTTACCCAGACCCGACGAGCTGTTCAGCTCCGTGTCCAAACCTGCCTTTCTMTATAACCCGCTGAACAAGGAGATAGACTGGGACAGCCTGACGGTCAAACCGCCCGAAGAGGTAAAACTTAAATATATATATTTTACCTAAATTTTTATTGAAAACTGTGAAATAAAACATATAAACAATGTTAGTAATTTTATCAAATGTTGCAGTACGCGAAATGCTGGTACGCACCCATTGTAAACATATGAGCATAAATAACATTGCTGATTAAATGTTCTCTTGTTAAGCTGCTTAAGCCCTATTTTGAACTTTATATTTAGATAAGCAGGCTTTGTGTTATTGTGCATGTCTTACATCAGTGGTTCCCAAATTTTTATCTTCTGACCCACAAAATATCCATGGCAAAAACTTGTGACCCCAAATATTACTGGTC